AAAATATTTTGTAATATATATATATATATATATATATATATATATATATATATTTATATTATTTTAATAATATCCAGGCATTATAATGTAATTTAGCTAAATGGAAAAAAAACTTTTGTCTATAGTTTTTATATTTTGAATATAAAAACTATAATTTTATATTATTTTAATAATGACCAACCAATATACATTTTTTTTTTAAATTTTATAAATATATGAATAGTAATAATAATAATAATAATTTGGAAAAATCTATAATTATTAATAATTAATCTGATAGTGATTATTTTAACATTATTATTTTAAACCTTATTTTTATTTATTATTAATATCTTGGAATAATAATAACAATAATATTAATAATGTTATTCATATATGTTTATATATTAATAATATATTATTATTTGTATTTTTATATATTGTTTTCTTTTTTACATAATATTTATGCAAAGTTTTTTTGTGTATGGAAAATTGTTTTCATCTTTGTTTTGAGCAATGTGTAAGTGTTGAGCTTTACATTTCTTATCCAAAAAATAAGTAACTTATTTTGCCTGTGAATGCTTTTGTTGGATCAGTTGAAAAGTGTAAAAGTGTTGGTGAAATATTGATCAGTTTGTTTGTTTGTTTGTTTTTAACAAATTTTGTGTATGAATCACTTCTGTAGTTTTGAGAATGGCTTGATATCAACCTAACAATATCTGTACTCACCATAATATTGTCTTTTAGTACCATGTTTTTTTTTGTTGCAAAATGTCATTGAGAGGATGCTGCATTTTGCTTCAGCGCTTCAGTTATTTGTATTGTAGCCTGTAATGATGAACATATTGCTGCTTGATTCAGATGCACTGTAGCTGCAAATCTCAGCTGAATACCCATCTCCCTTAAGACCTCCAATAGCCTCATATTAGATGCAGTCCTTCTAATCCAACGTGACAGCTCTCATCCCTGTCTATCCTTTTTCATCCCTCCTTTCTGTTCCACACATTCACCGTTCCTCAGAACTAAACTGTGCCTCAAAGCACACGAGGAGGAGTCCCTTCAGTCCGTGTTAATGTCGTCTCAGGATGGAATGGAGGAATGTGGCTTTAGGGCCGTTCTCTCTCTTTCTTCCAACCTGGGATCCCTTATAGTCATTCTAATGTGTAATTCCCTAATGAGAACAGCTAATATGATAATTACAATAAGCACTTACTCTGTTGTGTTATACTATAGCAAGGGTTTTAAACCTTAGACGAAAAGACAGAGCTGAGAATCCCTGTTATATACTATATATAAATGGATTTTAAACCTAGCCTTTAATAACATGTACCATATTAATGTATTTACATGCTTCATGATAATTATTTAAATAACCATATTTGATACATTACAAAACCATTAGTTTCAAATTTATGTTGTATTTAATAATTCATTCATATGGTGTATTGCATTGTAAGGACCTCTTCACCGCCCTCTGTAGGTCCAGAGTGGGAGCGCAGGCACCAGGCTGACTCGTTGGGGGATTTGTACAGGGCTCTGGAGAGGACTAGTCTATCGCCTGTCAATGAGCACAGGTCCTCTTCTCGATTAGAGTACAAGCGATCATTCGTCCGCCGTTGCAATGATCCGTTACTCAATGAAAAGCTGCACCGCCTGCGGATCCTTCAAAACTCATTCAAGGTACAGCTTTCATCAGTTCACGTCCTGGTTTACTGCTTTCCCTAAACAACCTGACCACACACACACACAAAAAAACTAGTTCATAGCATAAGTGTAAGATGTAGTGATTGCGTTTTTAAATGCCCAAATCTTAACCTAATATTTATACACATATTCAAAAAAAATTTTTAAGTTGTCTCTTTTGCTCACCAAGGCTGCATTTATTTGATCGAAAATACAGTAAAAACTAATATTGTAATATTGTGAAATATTATTTCAATTTAAAATAACTGTTTTCTATTTGCATATATTCATTAAAATGTAATTTATTCCTGCGATTGAAAGCTGAATTTTCAGCATCATTACTCCAGTCTTCAGTGTCATATGATCTTTCAGAAATCATTCTAATATGCTGATTTGGTGCTCAAATCATAATTTTTTTTCATGATTGTTTGGATAGAAAGTTTAAGTTTAAGTAGAAATCTTTTCTAACATTGTAATTTCTTTACTGTCACTCAGTTTAATACATCCATCCTTGCTAAACAAAAAACTACCAATCACTGTCTGAACTTTTTTTTTTTACATTTATTAATGTATTATGAAAAAAAATGAATTAAGAATGAATAATAGTACAGTATATTTCAAAAACTACCCATAACATAGATTAATAAATGCTGTTAAAATGTTGTTCATTCTTAGCTCATGATATCTAATGCATTAACTAATGTTTAACTTAAACTAAACCAATTAAACCATTTTGTAAAGTGTTCCCAGTTTTTTAACATCCAGACATTATAATGCAATTTAGCTAAATGGAAGAAAAACAAATAATTTTTGTCTTCCACAGAAAAAGGATGTCTTTTTGATTTTCAAAGTGGCATGTACATTAGAATGACATAATATTCAGTTTAAAGCAAGTGATCTTCAGTGGGTGAAATTTAATAAACAAATCAAAAACTTTTTTTTTTTACGTTATAATCAAAGATGCAAATATTTTTTTTGAAAGACGCCATGAAGCTTCTGATTGGCAGTTTTAAATGCACTATATTTCTTTTTATGTTTACCAGAGGCATTTTTGGACACAACTTGCACTTAAAAAAAACTAGCATGTCTGTGTTTCAGCTTTGAAAAAAACATCTTTGTTTTATGTCTTATGATCATAGACGTGTGTTGCATAATTTAATACACATCATTAATCGTGCAGGTCTTGTTTTGACAGGACATCCCTCTTCAAGAGGCAGAGACTAAGATCATCCATCGGGATGTGTAGCCAGAGATACAGAGAACACAGCAGGGCTCAGCACCAGTCATTTCAGCCATATCTGCTAAAAAAAGCTCCACTCTCTTTCCCTGGAGGGTTCATCTTAGTTGCTTTTATCAAACATCTATTTCTCACTCTTTTACTCTGTTGCAGCATTCATGGATTTCCTCTCGTTGCACTCACTTTCTTTGCTTTATGTTATTGCACATGCTAATATTGGCATTATTTTGTATGTAAAGTTCTTTTCTCTTGAATTATTTGTGTTCGTAATAATGACTTTGGCCTCCATCTGAGACCAAATAACTGCACTTCCAATGAACTCTACCCTACAGTAGTCTCTCATGACTGAAAGAGAAAAAAAACACAGGGATAAAAGAATTAAACTACTGGTATAGAAATTATTTTGTTCTAAATCTGATTTGCATGGCCATTGTCTAGTCAATAGATTTTCTGTCTGTGATGTGTCTTAACTGAAACTAACATTTTTCAATGGTAAATGTAACTATGAGTGTAAGAGCAGGATTGACAGGATGCAATGATTGCGTGTCTGTGTTCGGGTGAGTGTTGAAAGCCTAGGTCTGTTGTATATAATGTATGTTGTAATATTCTGACCGTTTGCACCCTAGCAGCAAGGTTCTTGCAATAATGTTGAACTAAAACGATTAATTAGTTTAACACTGTCTATTTTTGTAAGCATGATATTTATTGAGATGTTTGTACATTGTTTTGTATGCTCAACTATGTGTTATCTGAAGATAACTGCAAGCGTAAATTCCTTTTCATGTGTTCCTGAAAGATTTTTAACTAAATGAAACTTTCATGTGAAAGCACCAGTGTTGTAGTATCTCCAAAAAAAGTAATTTTATCAATAAATTGTTTGATGTTTTGACATTATTTTAAGTACCAGTATGACTTGTTTGGTATCCAGTGTGTTAAATATTTTTTTTATTTCTTGGAGGGTTGGGTCATCAGGACAGTCCAATGGATTCAGTTGTTATTTCTAAATTATAGATGACAATAGATGTACACAATGTGTATTATCACTGACTGCATAATCATCTGAAAATCATCTTAAGGTGACATAGGCCTACTGATGATGACAGCTGGGCTGTACTTACAGTAACCTATATTTATTCTCTGGTTAGATCCCATGCACTGCCTATTCTAGGCATTCGATGCACATTCCCATAAACGTGCAACTCATTCTAGTTCAGTTGGCAATTAAAATGCTTGGATTAAGGCCAGCATTATGAGGGAAATGATAAGGGCTTGAATGAGGGTACTCTTATGGAGAGTGTAGTGAGAGGTTTTCATTAAAAACTGAGTACTCTCTGCCCTTGGATGACACAAACAGATAACCAGAACTGAACGGTTTTGTTCTGATTAAAGTATTGAGTGCTCAATCAAAATTACCATGGTAGCCTACTACCATGTTTTTTGGACATGCACCATGATGTTCTTTGAAATATTTTGGAGAACATTAAACCCTGTACCCTGGTAAATTAATATTGTAATCGTTCAGTCACATTGTGGTGCATCATAATATTATGGAATTATTACCATCTGAAACTGCCACAATAAGGAACAGTCATAATTCTAGTTGTTTCAAAATAACCCAATGCTGCACCCTGGAGAATAGGCCGATTAATATTTATGGTGACCGGATTGCAGCAGTACGAAAATTAACCATGGTTTTAGTATAGTAAAAGTGTAGTAAACATGTTTTTTTGGCGTATTGATTATGTATAACCACAGTAAACTCCATGGTTAAACTATTGTTATTGTAGGAAAACCATGGTTAATTTGTGGTTACCATAGTTTAACTATAGTAACCATGTTTTTTGTTTTGTTTTATTTGTAGTTAAACCATGGTTAATTTTCGTAAGGGGTAGGCTACGCAAACGCCCTACACGTGTGAAACCGGGCTTGGGGGCTTCAGGGCCACTCTACCCACGAATCGAATCCTTTTATTGAACTAATCATTAGTGTTCACTTCGGTGCACGGAATTCGTCCCCTACAGAGCCACATTCAAATGAGTTATTGTAGCTTTACGTTTCAGTTTTCAGTTAACGGCATGATAACTGTGTCAACGTATTTGCAGAAAGGTGTATTAAATAGTACAAATCAAAATGGAAAATGTTCTCAGTAATTCTAAAGGCCCCGATATACTTCAAATGAAGTTCTTTTTAGTTCTTCGTTTGAGGGCAAAAAGTTCGAAGAGTAATAGCCTTCGAGTCGGGTAGTCTGATTAACCGAACTGATTCGCTCAGTGAATCGATCTCGTTCACAAGATAGGCTAAACACAATTAAAATGACATTAAGGGCCTTACTATTGTTTTTCAGTTTTTTAAAGTCCCAACAGATGACAAGATAAATGAAAGAATATAGCTGCTTGTCTGTAGAGAGACTTGTTTCGGTCAAGATTGAATCGACTAAAATGACTCATACAATATTCTATGACTCATTCACGTTTGCCACCACCTACAACGATATATTATACAGAAAGGCCCACTGAAAGAGTTATTGAACAAAACTGGAAATGATCACATTCAAGTAACAAATATGAAAATTACACTGAATTGTTTTCCACTAATCTAATAGAGTGTGTGTAAATGGATGTACCCGCTAACAGTTTTTGGTTCCCAGAACATTCTGGGAATGTTATTTTTGGTTATAAAAACAAAACCTAGTAATAATTTTCGAGAACGTTTTGAATTTAGGAACGTTCAGTGTAGATTGAAGAAGGTTCTCTTTAAGTTGTCACATTATAGCCTACAAGAACCTCATGTTGGATGATTAGCTTTGAGTTACGAAAAAAAGGACATTCTTGTTAATGGGAACGTTCTATCTTTGCTGGGTATCTGTTCTGTAGCAATTAAAAGAGCATTGGTGAACGAATCTCCGTTAAGGAAGGATTCAAAAGATTCGATTCGCTGAGATGAATCAACCTCCCCAGCACTTCCCCTGCACCACTTCCGAGCTCGAGTGAGTGAGTGAGTCGGAGAGACAGACAGCCAGACAGAGCGAGCGCTCACAACACACACCACACACCTCCCTCCCTCCGGCGTAATCGCTCTCTCCCTCTGTCACCACAGACTCTCCACCGATTCACCACCGGCTGCCTCATCCAGGCATGGCAGACGGCTTTACCCCATCATGGCAGTGCTACATTACACCCTTGACTTCAAGCTCCGTGCGCCAGGTAAATGTGAGTGAAATGAATGAAGGGGGCGAGTGAAGAGGAGAGTAAGAGGAGGGCTCGTGTTGCACTGCAGACGTGCGGGCCTCCTCGCAACTGCTCTGTAAGCGATTTTTTGTCTCTATAACAGCGGCGAGGCTGCAGTCCCACTGTTGCATTGCCGAGACGGCCGCGGGATGCACGTGTTATTGCAATCGAGCGTATGGCTTCTTTTGTTGTGCACGTCCTCCTGATGTTTGCTCTGATAAATGACCTTCTAGGGGGTAGCATAGCGGTGTTAGCGGATGCTAATATCGACCGTATTTCTTGCATTTAAATGAAGCACATATATGAACATACATATGTACTCGCAGACGAACTAACAGAAATATTTCCTATTACATATTATATTACCTATTGTTACGAATGCACAGTGCGCAACTCCGTTAGCTACTAACTTGCTCCGGTGTATATGACACAGATTTTTGAATTAGGAGTGTTTTTCTGTATGTTGGCAAGCTCTGAAAGTCTCTCACCTCCTATGACAGTCGTGCCTGTATTTCACTGGCTAATAATATCGCAAGCCGATAAGATGAGTAGTCCATACTTGCACACTGCAGTGATCATACTTTGATATTACACACAAGCATGCCTTATCTGTTTTGTGAGCAGTGTGACAGGTGCAGACTATCATGTACTATGTTTTGGGATTTATATTAGATCAATTTACTTCTGCATATCTGTATGTTACAATTCCACCCTGCTTTATACAGTAGAATGGATAGGAATCAATAGGGATCGACTTGTTTGGGTAGATGTGCGTAACTAGGTTAAAATCGATTTTTTTGCAAGATATCCTTTTATTCAAGAGCAATTTGAATTGCACAGTTATATTAATTACCGGTATTATATATGATATGTACTTAAACTTATTTGTGATTTGTGAGTTTTAAAGGGAAAACTTTGTAATGTATTTCATTGTTATTTCACTTATTTTATTAAAAAAAAGAAAATCACTTAATCGCTCATGCTGTTCAAAACCGATCTGACTTTCCTCTGTGGAAAACAAAAGATGTTGGACAGAATGACAGTCTCAGTCACCATTCACTTTCAGTGTAAAAAAGATGTATGGTTTGTATGTCAAACATGTATGCCTTTCTTTCAAAACATATTTTGAAGAATGTTGGTAACAAAACCGTTTTGGTTACCATTGACTTCTATTGCAAAAAACACAAAATATCTTCTTTTATGTTTCACCCAAAAAATAGGTTGCAACAACATGAAGATGTGTAAATGATGACAGAGTTTTAGTTTATGGGCTGAACTATCCCTTTAAGTTGTTTAAGAAACATAATTAAATATGCAAATGAGCCGAGCAGTATGATTGGCTTTAGGGTCAGCTTACAGGATAAATGAATCTGTCTGTTTTTCCTCTCTGTTTAGCTGATGTCTCTGCGACTGTGCATGGCCTGCAGTCTATATTTCAAGAGCAGGAAATGACAGAGAACGTCCACAACTTGTATGGACACGGCTATCTGGCAACCTTTGTCGGCAAGAATGGCAGGTGAGCACTTTTGCCTCTTTCGCAACATGCCACAGTATGCAAAAACTCTTCAACAAGTTTTGCTTAGCTGAAAGGGGGAGGGATCTGAATTTGAATGATGAATAATGAACGATTGCCCTCTCATTATATCGAATTTTTTAGCAATGACTCGTAAGCTAGAAAAAAAAAGCCACCAGTTTCCTTTCCATCAGGCCATTCCATGGAGCTTTTTCATTTTTGCTCTGTAACAGCTAAGCATAATGTTAAATCTAACTGACAATAATGATGCCTGACCACACAAACGCCCCACTGAAAACACCAGGTGTGCTCCTGTGTTCAGACACTCTTTAGGATGACCATTGATTGGCCAGTTAAGTGCATCCTCTGTGCAACAAAGGAACGCATTTAGAAGAGCGCAGGGTCATTTTAGTGGCTTTGTGCATCTGATCTAAAGGCTTTGGCACTCACTTCCTGTTTTGTGTGTGGCTCGCTGTAAACACAGCTGTTGGGGCTTTGTGTAGGCTTAAGCTGGGATGAATCTGGCCTGAGCGCCGCATATCACTTTTTGGTTTTTGACTGCAGTTTTGAGGTTTTAATTGTGCTTCTGTATTTTCCTTGTGATCAGGTTT